AAGTTTTATGGGAAAGAGTTGATCAGATTTAGCCTCACATCTTATTTTGGTTCACATATGTTTGGTTTACAGAAGAAAGAAAATTATAAGGGTTTGGAATGATGTGGGGCTGAAGAAAGGAAAAAGTTGTCATTCTTTGCAGAAAATGTTCCATTAAATTAATTCTAATAGGAACTCACATGGTATAGTACATCGGTCCATCCTTCCATGGTGATGCACTGGAAGACTGTGAGGATGGCAAAGAGGATGTTATCAAAATTGGTGATGCCGAAGTTGGGTCCTGTCCAGTACTCCCTACATATTGTTCCATTGGGACACACTCTTGAAGGACGTTCTGCTCCACATGGGTAATCTCCAACCTTTTCTCCTGCACACACAAACAAACAGAAAACAAACCTTTATGTATTACATTACAGGCCTATTTCAATAATCATTACATATTTGGAAGGTAAATTAATGCAACCACTCTCTCCAATCGGTCAAACACACACACGCACACGCACACACACACACACACACACACATGCACACACACACACACACACCCTCTCCCGCTCTTTCTCTCTGAGGCATATCACCTGCTGATGTTGCTGATTGAGGGGTGAAGCAGGCAGCAGCTGAGCACATGTTAGCAGCTCAGCTTCTTATTGAAAACCTCATCACCAAGACAAGCTAATTACATGCACTGTGTTGAACTAAAATAAATCGCGCACACATATTACATTAACAACCTGTCAAGATCACTCACACCATGAACACAGAAGTATAGTACATAAATACACAAACATGTGCATACACACAAACACAGCCTCCAGCTGGAATAGCAGAGCTTATGTCCTCATCTTCGAGAGCTGTGCTGTGCGGATACAATAGAAAAACATTTGCTCTCCAAGCTCTTTCAAGAAACGACCTTTTACCTCTTTCTGTGTCACAAAAGACCTTTAAAAATCACTCAGTGATTCAGGAGTCAGTGTGCTACACTTGCCTGCAGGATAAATCATGAAAACATCCGCTTTACAATGGCAATCAATGATATTTATTTTAAGAAATGTAATTACACTTGCTTCTATCAATCTATTATGTGGTACACTAAAGTCAGATGGTAATTGGAATTAGGGGTGGGAGTCAACAGGGACCTGTTGATATATTATATAGATATCTGGGTCATGATATGGGTGTTAATACAGCTCAAAAAATTGTGTAGATTAGCAGGGATTTTGAAACTGTTTGATGCAACGAACCCTCAAATATGATAATCCCCTTGCAAAGGACCCCCATCTTAAAATATGAAGGGCAGGGTTTGCTCTGCTTGGGTAAAAACCCCTCACATCTATGTACTTACACACCAGAACACAATTAAATGCTATTAAACATCTACAATTAATGTGTTCATTAGGAGACAAGGAGAAAAACAGAGATGAAGAGAGAAAAAACACTAAGATCTGTCATGTCTCTCTCACTCACATTCAGTCTCTAGCTGCTAAGGAAACAGCAGTGTTTTGTGGGTAAATGTCAGTCAGTGAAAAGCGAGGCAGGTGGAGGAAATTTGCATAAACAAAAGAAAGAGCCTGAGAGGACCTCTTATCCAAACAGAGCTCTGCAAAAATCTTCTAGAGTTGTCTCTGTTTAACAATTGTTCAAATATATATTTTGTAATCATATTTTCATTCAAAAAGTTTTTTTAACAACAGGTTTTGTTTCGCAAAGGCTTTATTGTGTAAATGGAGTCTTCACATTTTGTTTCTATCTTGTGATACCAGTGCGGGTTTCTTTCTGCTAGAGTGTCTTTATTATCTTCAATATAAACTGATAAGGAGTCGCTTTCTTTGGACTCTCTAAATTCGTTATTTAATGTGTGCTACAAAGGGCTGTTTTGAGATTGTGTGCTTTGAAACGTCTCTGACTGCAGTGGCTGTAAGATTTATTACTTACAAAGAAGCTTTTTTGTTTCCACAGCAGGAACTAACCTGTATCCACTTTAAAGCGATGAAGAGAGAAAAAACACTAAGATCTGTCATGTCTCTCTCACTCACATTCAGTCTCTAGCTGCTAAGGAAACAGCAGTGTTTTGTGGGTAAATGTCAGTCAGTGAAAAGCGAGGCAGGTGGAGGAAATTTGCATAAACAAAAGAAAGAGCCTGAGAGGACCTCTTATCCAAACAGAGCTCTGCAAAAATCTTCTAGAGTTGTCTCTGTTTAACAATTGTTCAAATATATATTTTGTAATCATATTTTCATTAAAAAAGTTTTTTTAACAACAGGTTTTGTTTCGCAAAGGCTTTATTGTGTAAATGGAGTCTTCACATTTTGTTTCTATCTTGTGATACCAGTGCGGGTTTCTTTCTGCTAGAGTGTCTTTATTATCTTCAATATAAACTGATAAGGAGTCGCTTTCTTTGGACTCTCTAAATTCGTTATTTAATGTGTGCTACAAAGGGCTGTTTTGAGATTGTGTGCTTTGAAACGTCTCTGACTGCAGTGGCTGTAAGATTTATTTCCTTGGTACTCTCAAAGAAGCTTTTTTGTTTCCACAGCAGGAACTAACCTGTATCCACTTTAAAGCAGGTAAAGTGGAATTTGCCCATGTAGAACTCGACGCCGATGATGGCAAACATAACTATGGCAAAGAAGAGCAGCAGTCCAATCTGAAGAAGGGGAACCATGGCCTTCATAATGGACTTTAATACTACTTGAAGACCTAAAGAAAGAGAGAAACATTACATTGAGTTAAATGAATCATGGTTAGTCACTGTTAAATTGAAGTGTATTGTACTGTCAGACACTTACTTGGGATTCCAGACACCAGTTTGAGGGGTCTCAGCACTCTGACGGCCCGCAACGTTCTTAAGTCAAACTGCGAACCCAGTGTGGTTAAAATCCTGTCACAAATACACAAACATGCAAAAGTCAATAGAAAGCAGAGACCATTATAGACATTGATTAATTCAGATTAGTGGACAAACAATACAGGCTGTTTAATTCTTAAATTATTTAATTTGGACTGCTCCAGTAATGGATATTTGGTTACATCCTTCATATAAATAACCTCAAATATAAACATTAAAAGTTCAATATAATAATAATAATTATAATAATAATAATTATTATTATTATCATAAAATTAAACATGTAAACTTATATTATAAATAATATTTTACTTATATAATAATTAATATTTAATAGATATTATATTATTTTCATTGTTTTCAATCTTTTTATTTGATAATAAACAATTATGTATGCACACACACACACACACACACACACACACACACAGAGAGAGAGAGAGAGAGAA